GGGGGGGGGGGGGGGGGGGGGGGGGGGGGGGGGGGGTGTAATCATGAAGACGCATATGCGGTGGTCGGTAGACAATGAACCTCGCACCCCTACAAAAGAGGGGAGGAAAAAATGATACAGCCGTGTGAGAGGGAAAAGAGGTAGGGAAACGGGGAAGAGATTACCAGGCCCGTGCGGGTGGTTTGGAGTGTGTCTACCGTGAAGGGTGGCACCGGTACATACATGCTGCTTGCACGAATGTGCTGCAAGCCTCGTCCCCATCTCATGGGTAGGCGCGCCGCTGCTCGTGTGGGGCATCCCCACCGGGGGCAGTAACTTCACCGACCTCCGAGTACACCTTGACCAATACGCTGCCACCGCCGGTGGTAGTGGTGACGGAACAAGCTATATGCTTCGTTCGAAACGAAAATTTGAAACTCCCCCGAAACTTGCAAACTTGAGTAGGCATGTTTGGATGGCCGGACTTGAAGTTCGGTCGAGAATGAATACCCGGAGGGTGGTCGCCACGTCATCAAATTTGCCGTCTCGCAGAACTGGATACAAGTGTCATTTAGCGATCTTGTGGGGTCTTCGAGCAACTGATAATCAGAGGTTTCAAAACACAGTCGTGGGCCCGATACAAGAGGGTGCCTGTATAAGAAAAGCCAATATTAGAGGGTGAGAGCCCTCGTCACGCCACCCTCTTAAATCTGCCAAAGAAAACCGATTCATGGTAAGAAGGGCGCCAAACGAGCGGTGGGACTCTCACCGTCTTCCCGCTCTGTGGCACCGTCGCATCGAGGTCGATCTTGCCGATCCCTCTTTTTCTTCTCTTGTTGATGGTGGTGCTGCTGGTGCTGAGCAGCTCTCTTAGCGCGGCCGTCAGCCCGTTAGCGGCAGCTCGCTGGATCGGGAGGTAGCCCTTGGGATCTGGACACAACAAGCAACGGAACGGAGAGCGAGAATCGCGCACGCGCGCGCGCGCGTGTGTCTTTGTTGTCAGCATTGACCGCGTTGACCGGTTGACCAACGACAGTTCGTTCGTGTAGGTGCGGATCAAAGACAGAAGGCGCCGCGAGACCAGGTGTGGATCGGGGTGCGTAAGCATGTGCACCATGCCCCCTTGCTGGCAACCGGTACTACCAATCGCTCTTCCCATCATCCTTGCATGCATTCTTGGTGCCCTCTTACAACAAGGGCCAATTTCTCCCCCCTTCACGACGACTTCCGTTACCGATATTTTCTCTTCCCTCGGTGTCGCACCGGCCCCGATCTCCACAAACTCAAGTGCTCTTTTTCGCACGGCGAAACCACCCCACTTGTTCACTGTCGACATCGATCGAACGTCTCGCAAACAGGTAAGTGTGTACAGTGCGAGCTGCAGTGCTGTGTTGCGGTTAAGTGGGCTTGCAGGACTCTTTCCGACTGCGTGTAGTGGTGTTCCCTTGTTCTTGGTGGGCGAAAGGCAAATACATTCGAACGTGGGATCCTATTGCCCCGCCGCCTACGGAAGAAGCCTACGCTGCAAGTCTTCGGGTGTGCCTAAAATATCCGTTGCTACATACATACACCCCGGGAGATTCTCTCCCCGGGGGAGGATTCCCTCACCCCCCCCCCGTCCTCTCGAGGGCGCGTGGGCAATGGCCTAACCGCTAAGGCACGCAAAAACATGAGTACGCCCCCCCGCCCTCGGTGATCGGTCCTGTGGGAACAATGTCAAGAGGACACGCGGTCAACGGTGCTCAAACAACGAAGGCATGAAAAAGACGAAAGAGTTTTTTGAAACGCTCCCTCCCTCCCTCCCTCACGCTTCGGAAAAAGCTGACCCCCTTATAGCCATTAGGCCGGCTAATCTCCACGAGACTGTGCTGACCAAGTCTTCCTTAGGCTAGGCTGACTAGTCTCCATAGACTAGGCTGACGAAGTCTCCACAAGCCTACGCCGAAGTCTCCGTTAGACGAGGGCTTACCAAGTCTCCACTGGACTAGGCGCGTCTCATGGTTTGATTTCGGCTTTTACACCCCCAATCCGAAGAAAAAAGGAAAAGAGGAGGAAGGAATCCGCCTCCCAAACAGCGATCTCTGCCCACCAGCAGGCCCATTCACCCCGGTAAGGCTTCACCGAACCACCACGTCCTACAGCGGTAGCGGCAGCGTGAGTTCTCGGTGCCGAACAACGGGGTAATTCATCTTCATTGTCCTTCGCCGTGACGCCAAAAAACAGGGGGGGGAAATGATGGAACAAAGCATTCTCCACATCTACCCGCAGCGGTGACTCGTCGGAAAATATTTGACCTACCCGTACATCCGGGGGGAGAAGTCAAGGGGAGTGGTGGGGGGGAGGGCCATTGTGTGGCAAGGAAAATATTTGACTACCGCGGGGGGAGAATCCAGGCGAAATANGGGGTGTACTCATAGTCGTGCATGCCGTAGTCGTTAGACCATTGACCTCGCATCCCTACAAAGCCGGGACGGAGCACGCGGACCAGGCTCTCATATCACCAAGCGCGAAGCGCCGTGAGATGTTCGGTGAGTCGCATGAAGGGTCGCATGAAGGGTGCGCTGCATCCTGCTAAGGGTGTTCGGCATCTTGTGCTTACTTCCTTGCGTACGGATGACAGCTGCGTATGAATTAATTTATTTTCTGGTGCTTTCACTTCCAGAGACAGTTGTAAGCACTGTGTAACTGCCTCGAGAGTGCTTGACCATTTTAACACAACGTGGTGCGATCATCCCCCTTGCGCGGAGTGAGGGTTCTCCACCCCGCACAACATGATCTACTCGCCCACCATTATGGTTACCGCCAATAAAAGCAAGTTCTCCCGGAGGGGGGGTTGAATCAAAGCCTGGACCAAATTTTGTCCCACAATTTTGGGGGGGCGAACGCTACTGGGGGCGGGTGGGTGGACGGAGGGGAATGCGGTGGCTCGCCGGCAGCCAGCAGACGACAGCAGTTCAAGAAGCAAGGTTTCTCTCTCAATAACGACATCGCCTTTGGTGTGTCTGCTGGAGCAGAATTATGCAAGGACCACCTCGATACCATACGCTCCCGCTACAAAAGATGTCGGGTACGTCTTTGAAGACTACCCATTGACGATATTACCCTGCTAGACAGGGATGTGCTCAGGAGACTTTCCATGTACAGCAGTTTTTGAGGAAAACCTGCTCAACACCGGAACTAATTGAGTCTCACGTTTTAAACGCCTTGTTCACTGAGAAGTCAGCATTGTGCACATAATTGCATCCGGTGGGGAAAACTGGTCTACGATGTACTGTATCTTTCTCTCGGTCGTGTCTTCGTCGATCGGAGGGAAACTGAGATTTCGAAAGATGGACGGATCGTACTCTCCTCAAAGAAGCCCGCCTTGCTGAACCCACGGGACATTCATTCACTTGTGGGCGAAGGCACCGCCTCTTTTGGATCGTCGTTTCCGCTGAACGGAACGGATTGATGAGCTCGAATGATAGTGCCTGTCGTGACTCTCGTATATAACGTCTCCTCTGCTGCTGTGTGTGCCGCACTACCATGTACAACGTTGACAGGTAGTTGCGCAATTCATCAGCAACTATTTGTTTAGGCGGATCGCAATAGAACCCGTCAGATGTGCGTGTGTATCGTACAATAATTCCGCTGTGTACACCAGACCACATGCCTTCATCTCGTCAGGTCTACTAGGAAAAATATTGCTATTGTTGTAATTAGATAGTCTACCTTCTCCTCATGGTTCATTCGTGGGTACTTGAAGGACAGGCAGAAATCCGAGGCGTAAATAGAGCCAGCCTCTTCCAATCCACACGCTGTGAAGGCTATAGCCACCGGAAGCAGACATCGATAACATGACAACATCAAGTCGGATCTACCGCAGTACGCGGCTTGAATGGTGAAAATTTAGGAGGAAGATACCTGTCGTGCTTGTCGTGGCACGCGTGCGTGGAACATATTTCTTGCCCTTTCTGCTCTGAGTTTGGAGTATTCTGCAGCAACTTCTTCGAAACAATTTGGGGGTGGAAAACACGAGAATCCCGACGCCCCCCTCGAGGCCACTATATATTACTGCGCAGCACCGGCGATCCATTGGTCTGCTCAGGAAGCCCCCCCCCCCCCATCATGTTGCCGGGATGTCTCGAGCAGAGCAAAGTCCGGAGACACAAAACGACCGAGTGCTACCGTAGGTAGCTTGGGACCACCACGAAAGTCTAATTGCGTGCGTGAAAAACCTACTCTTCTTACAAGAAGCAGCTATACTCTTTCAGCTGATGCAGCCAGTACAATGTGTGTGCACACGCACCTCTGCACCCAAGGTTGGCTCCGGCTAGCACCAGCTCCCTCACGAGGGTAGGGTTGGGGTTAGGATCCTGCAACAGTATCTCCAGCGGCGTGCCTTCGGGGGTTCGAAGGTTGACATTGGCCCCCGCCCGCAGGAGCACCCTGGCCACCTCCATGTTGCACAGCCGGGGTGGTGGCCGCCGATTTGCAGCAGCAGAACAATTGCGCAACAAGTAGCAGTAGCAGCAGAAGCCGAGATATTGGCACAGCGACGTCTTGACAGACAAGGAGCGCAACATCAACATCGCAGTTGTCTTCGTCACCGCGTCACCCCAATGCTGCTTTGCTACGACCCATCACATGCACTGCTGCTGCTGCCCACACGTCTCTCATGGTGCCACACAGCAGAATGTACTACATACCTCAAGGTGACCTCCATCTGCGCATGAAATTGCCAGCGGCGTCCGGAGGTATGGGTCGACCTCATCGGGGTCGTCGCCCTTGGAGAGGCACGCGGCAACGCGGTACAACTTTCCGCGACTCGCCGCCAGGTGCAGGCTGTCTACTCGCCTGCTTCTCGCCGCCATACCAATCGCTGGGCTGTCACCGTTTGCAGCAGCAGCAGCAGAGGTGGCGTCGCCTTTTCCCATTGTTGTTGTCTTTTCCCCGCTGCTGCTGCGTGTGCACGTCCTTTTTTTTTTTGCTGTGTGCGCCTGGGTTATGGTGTTATTAGGGTGTTTCCTGCGAACTGTAATTACTTGTCGCTCTTATGGTGTCGGGAAATTCGGGGTATTTCTCAAAGAAACAAACACCTGTAGCCCTGGCTGACACGCCTGCCTCATGCCACAGCAGCGGCGCAGAGATCCAGAGCAGCAGCCTGCTTGCCTCGCACTGGCAGTGTGCAACCATGTATAGTTTCAGCGCGCTTGCGCGCGTGGGGTGGGGGCAGGCTGCCACCCCACCTACCTTATGAAACGTTCTGGTCAGGGTCGTCGGCGCACTCGCTCTTTTTCCGGACAGTCTCGGGACTGTCGTGGACGGTGCAAGAGGTTCCGGTGATGCGGTTGGCGCTGCTGTCGGTGTGACCCGGCCCGGCGTACTGACAGAGACAAGCATGACAGACCATGTTCTGTTATATGTACTGTCAGATATTAAGAAAGAAAGATCTGGTACAGCAGAGTGCATACCAAAGTAGTGGAGTTTGCCAGCAGTTACCGCTGTGCCGCTCGCTCTTTAGTAATTGGTTGAGGCATCGATTATCTACACGTCTGCACGTCGGCACATCTCACATGATCGCTAATCGCATCCGGCAAAGAGGAAACGCTCCTGGCCCCCTGAGAGCCAACTACCCAAGGCGGTGCTAGCGGCGAAGGACGCCACCCACACGAACACACGCACACTGCTGGTGCGCTTCGAAGGGCCGAACGGAATCGAACGTTCCAACTCCGACATCTACTCCCAACAGGGGCTATCCCAAGATTCAATATTAGCCAGTCGCTGCTGGAGATGCGGCAAAGTGGAAACGCTCCCGCCCCGCTGACAGCCAACTCCCCAAGGCGGTGCTAGCGGCGAAGGACGCAACACAACAGCACAGCAAGCAGTACAAAAAGGACGGGACCTGTCGAGATGCCCCCCACAAGATCAGATAACATCTTAAAGCTTACTACGCATACGACAACAGCGGCCGTAGCACCGCGCCTTGCGTACACCTGTACACCAAAAGCATCGTCCTCGTTGGGACAAACACGCAGGTGGATACAACAATCCTCCACGGCCTGAAAGAGCCGGGCCGGCAGGGTATCACCTTTCACGCACGTCTGCATGTTTCGTGTCTGCATTTAGGGATTTGTACCGCATGTTATGTACGACATGTCTCTGCTGAGGGGAGCGAAGAACAACACCAGCCTACAACGCGGAGAAAGGAAACGTTTCCCCCCCTGCACACTCGGAAACGTGTGGAAATGTACGCTACGGCTGCACAAGAGCAGCAGTAGCAGCAGTCTGCAATGCGCGGAGAAAAGCAAAGAGAAGAAGTGCTCACACCAAGAATACCACCCGCCGGAAATCCAGAAGCTGTCCTGTACACCCCCGCCAATGGAACAACGGCACAACTCTTGTACGTACGCGACCTTATTTCTCTCGTTCTCTCGGAACGCCGCGAGCAACATCCAGCCACCGCGTGGTTGTCGATGGCAACACCCTTCAGTTACAGATAGCAGTAGTGACGCGTTACTACCATACACGTGCCAACAGTTGTGACGCGTTGATCGATCACAAAACGTCACGCTGTTGCCGTCAAAACGTCACTTGGCTCGACCGGATGTAGGGATCAACCGCGGCCTCGTTTGACAAGTTAGCTCGACGCGAAGGTTTCTTATCCAACCCCCCCGAGGTTGGATACAACCAAGTAGGCACCTTGCTTGTCTTTGAACTCACACAAAATCGAAAAACAACTTGCCGCCAAAACGAAAGAATCGAGTCCAGCCAGCAGTGATTCGGCGCAAGATTATAGCGGCATCGCGGTACATGGCACATCATCCGGCCAAACAGCCTTCCGAAGACTCTTCGACATGATAAGCACCGCCGCTTCTGGCGGAATGCGGCGGCAGGCCATCATCCTCACTCTCCTTTCCAAGGCTGATCGTCGCCCATTCGCATGAGGTCATTTCTCAGGTTCAGCAGCTTCTCGGAAATCACCTGTCGTTGTCGATTATCGACACCCACCCGAGCGCGAACAGCAGCGCACGGACCAACAGCGAAGAAAGAAAGCGCAAGTGTTCGAGCTTCACAAATTGTGGGTTTCACGGAATGTTGAGGTACGACAGCCGTAGTAGCAACTGGGGGTGACTCGGTCGACATTCTCTGCCACATGTCGCGGACTCCACAAACTCGGTGCTGTCAACTGCTGCTGTGGACATGATTTTAAAATAGTGTTTTCTACAGGCACTCTGTCCATGTGAAGGAGCGCAGCGGGAAGTTGTTGAAAATATCCACCCAAACTATCAAGTTTCTCGCGACACAGCCTCGCTTGGCCTTTGCAGAAAAAAAAACGTCCCAAACCCTAATAACGACGGCGATGCAGTACGGTCAGAAAGAAGCGTTTCTCCGGAGTTCACTCGCCAACGCATCACTGGAGAGGCATGGACCAGAACACCCAAGCAACAATAATCGCAGGAGAGACTGTGAGACGAGAGAACGACGCGCCAACAAGCCCTGGCGTGTGTTCCTGCAACTCTTCAGCTGCCGCGGTGCCACCGAGACGGCGACTCGAGCACCGAAAACGACGAGTTTGAAACAAGTAGTATGAGTCTCGACCCACGACGACCTTCAATAGAAAAGCTGCCATGACACAATTGGAGTAATCAGCGCTGACTAGTAGAATGGCTTGATTGCGGCTTCTACAGTTCCTGCTACGACAAACGCAGCTGTTGCTGGCCTCCACAAGAGTTGGCACAAGAAGACTCACGAGAACAGACCGGTTGACAACACGGCAGCGGCATTTCGGCGAGGGAATGAATGAAGCAACTGGAGACAGAACCACCACAACCAACGTGTACATTCATGGACCCCACCTTAAGAGCAGTGACCACCACCTCCTCCGCAGATATCGACCCGTTCGTCTCCACTGCTCGCAACAGTGGAGCGCGGGGTGCATGTTTTGTATGCAGTCAGAAGGCCAGAAAGCAACGGTCAGTAAGGCTGCCCGAAGGGCCAGTGAATCAATATTTGGCAGGAAGCAAGTTCGTTCCAAGCGAACGGGGCGAGGCCCCCTCCCCCCCCCCCCCCC